TAATTAGAATTATCAGGACTCTTAAATCTTAAAGGACAGGTTTAAATGCAGAATGATAACATTTTTAAAGGGGTATATAACACAACCTGTTTATAAACAGCAAGTATATTGTGAAGTGATGAACTAAACCTTTTCTGTGGTTTAGGGAGGCTGACTACTGACATGCTGCTATCATATGGGTCTGTAATATCAGGATCACCACATGCTTTTCCAAAGGCAATGTCCACTACACAAACAATGCATTTCAGCATGAATCCATGGACTTTTGAACTGCAGAACCAATTCAAGGTACAGGTGACATCATACCAGCAAGTAATACAAAAAGCTCAGTTGTTTATGATGGGCAGAGCTATAAGAAGGAGTCACAACGAGCCCTCAGCACCCAAAAGGGGTTGAGACATATCTGCAAGGCTGGGGTGCTAACCAAACAACTTCATTGCATAGCCTGCCTTTCTGTGTAGGATGAAGCAATAACATAACCTCTCCTGGCAACATGAAGATTGTTAACTCAGGTGAACAGAAAGCATATAAACTGCGTTATTCACTGGCCTAGCTTGATTTGTTCATTTTCATATGGAAATACACTCAATTATTTCAATACAGCCCAAAACACACACAAAACACTAGAGGTCTCTGGATGAAAGATGCTTTATAAATGGCAGGTACGACCCTTGCATTGTATCGATAACCCTGAACGGGACAGGCAAGTAACAAGTATGCAAGGAGTGGGACCTGGCTTGAAGAAAACTGTCTATAATAAAAGCAGTGCAGCCACATGCCTCTGGTATGCCAAATAAGCAAAGAGAGAGGAGAAACTATCCTGTCCTGTACAGGAGCCTTCCTGAGGTCAGAAGAATGGTTGAGGACAGCAGAGGAAAAACAATATCTGGAGATCACTGGTATAGTCTTTGGGAAGGGTTAGAGGAAAAATACCCTCATCATCCCCTCTTTATAAAGCATAGAAAGGAATACAAGGAAACACAGAACCAGCAAATCCATGCTGGCAAAGATGAAGCTGCTTTACAGAATTGTCCTTAAACAATTGAACATCTCAAAATTGATCACAGAATTAATGGGTACAAGATACCCCTGAACCCAAAACTCTACAGGTACCAGTTCAACATAGTTAAATAAAGACTTTTACATCAGATTTAGGGAACAAAATACAAGAGAAATTGTTCTGTACTCTAATTCTTGTTCACCAAGGCTTCAGCTTATTAGGCAATTTTTAAACTGTCTTAGGTAAGAGAAAGTGTTCTCTGGAGGTAGACAGTTTTCTAATTTTGCACTTTTTTTTTCTTTTTGCGTTTTAATGCATCTGGACATGCTGACCTTAATTCCTTTGTAAAAGCTTCAGACAATACCAAAGTTAAAGCTGCTGATCTAATCTCATGCCTCTTCACTTGTAGACAACTTTTTTCAAAAGGAAAGAAAGAAACTATGATTTATTTGGGGAAAAAAGTCCGGAGATAAAGGAAAATAAACCTATCCTATCTTTATCTTAGAATATTTTCTCTTCCATATCATGTTGACTTTCTGCCCAGAAAATCTAGTGTAAGTCTCTTGATTGAAAAAGTCACAAGAGAACCAAGAGTTTGCAGAAGGCTGTACAAGCGGGAGAGATGTTTCCTACTCCACTTTTGGGTCACAGTCTAACTGAATAAACTCAGCCTCTTAAAATTTTATTAAGTTTGAATAAGGATTTATATGTTCAGAAAAATGGTAGTTGGAAACAAAATTAAAAAAAAAAAAAAGGGGATAGAGACAGAGAGAGAGAAAGGAATGAGGAATGTAATATAGCCACAGGAAAGGAGAGGTGTTTCCCACTTTCACTGTTCTTAATTAAAATAAAAAATAATAAAAAAAATGAAACAGAGAAGAATTTCTTTAGTGCTCATCAGTGTTGATTGCTCCAGGACAGGAAAACAGCAGAGATTTGGGGACATGCTCCCACCTCAACCCAACTAAATCGGACTCTCCAGCCCCAAGACAGGGAGCAGATCCCTGAGGTGATCTTGTCCTTTCCTTGTCCCCTTCCCTGTCCCTGTCCCCATCTCCTTCCCCGGGGTGCCGAAGGAGCTGTCCTCTGACCCAGTGCCTGAACTCCTGCTTTGGTCTAGGAAACTTTCCAGCATGTTTACAGTTACCGAAAATAGCGGCTTTGAACTGAGGGAACTGATGGACAGACTGACCTTTATCCTGCAGCTCCCACTAACTTACAAGCAACCAGCAGGCACTAGTAACCTTATAAACAGCCCTCAAATGAACCCAGAAGTTCAAGTGATGATGCATCCAACTTGGGATATTCAAAGTTTTTCTGCACTTGCAGGCCTATCAGTTTTGTCATCTGATGAAGACTGCAATAAACTCATGGCACGTGATAAATCCCTGTGCTTAGATTTAATGGCTCAAAAGAAAAATGCCATGGGGAATGCTTCATATGTAGTATTTAAGCCAGGTTAATCAAATTTGATAACTGAATGGCAAAGACTTTGTGGCAGGGAGATCATCCTTGCAAAAAATAGATAGAATAAACTTTGGAATTACCACTGGCAAAAGTTGACCTGCATAGAGAGTTATTTTAGGTTTTAATTTTCTATTTTGCTCTGCACGCAATTAAAAATAAATGGTATAAAGCTGGTTTATAAAAACACTACGAAACAAAAAACCTCTTTAACCAAATTAAAAACAACAACCCAAGAGATGAAAATACTCCACAACATTTAGAGTTCTGCAGGGACTAGTATACATACAGGGATTTTAATTTTCCATGGCCTGTAAGTGTTATAATCTCTATCAACTGTGTGTACTCTGGGACCATGACTAACACCACTGCTTGAACTCTCATTGGTTATGGCTTCTTTCTTCTTCCTTTAACACTGTTTTTAAACTCACATTTGATCCAAGAATTTGCAGGGATAAAAAAGTTTTTACAGCATTCTGTGCCTCTCAAGTCTAAAACACAGGTCTGTTACAGGACATTGTGTCAACAAATCGCAGATGTCTGCGAGTCAATGCAGTCAGTGTGAAAGGCCATAACTTGTCTCGCGGACCCAGGCTGAGAAAAAACGCTGGCAAAATTACATTGTTTGATAGCCCCAAAAAGATGACACAGGACATCCAGATGTCAAGACTGTCTTGATGATTTTATGACTGGTATTTCTTTCTTTGCATCCATAGCAAATATATCAGCACATTTTGCAGGAGAATTTCTTCAAAATCACAATGTGTTTATCTCATGTGCATGCCTTCACATTACAGGAATTGTTAGTTATCTTCTCCAGGATCTTCTAAAGTCTTGAGCTCTCTACCTTTTATAATTCACATATCACATCCTTACAGACATATTTTTACCTGAGTTGGTTCCTCCCTTTACTTTTCAGGGCTGCCCAGAAAGAACAGCTCTGGCAGCTTTGGTGCTACACAGACTTCTCCTTTAGTACTGCCAGGTTAACCACACTGCCACGTCCTGATTAGGGATGCTGAACCAATGCTTCGCTCTCTAGGACTGGATTCACTGCGAGAACAAAGAGATTTGATCCCATTCATCACCATCAACCGCTCTTTCTACTATTTGAAAATAATAACTGCTTAGGGAAAAAGAGGAGATACAACCATTTGTTTAGAATTTAAGGACCTCCAATTGTCCAAGCTGATGTCTGTCTGCCCCAGTTGAGGGGTAGGTTAGCTTGGTGATAGATGACATGGAAAAGCTGCAGTGGATGTCTTTTATACTCCTACCTAGAACTTCTAAGAGGGGCATTCAAGACCACGATGAAAGCATCCACATTTTGGAGAGTAGCTGCCTTACAGGCAGACCAGGGCCATCCTCACTTTCTCAGCTGTTTCTCTGAGCAAAAAGTGGCTCACAGAGCCCTGCACAACACAAGATAACAATGGCAAGGTAAGAAGTCTCAGAGGCCTCCACACGGATTGACAAACTGAGCTCACACTGTCTCAGTTCTCTCTTGAGGTCACATCATTATCCTTGATTTCCATTTCCTGATGGTAAACTGCTATCATGATTTAATAGGCTTTCATTGGCAAAACGTATATAATACTGCCAAAGGTTGTACAGGTCCCCTTTAAGCAAGTCATTGCACCTGAGACAGGAATCTGGGGACATTTATCCAAAAAAAGAAATAGAAGACATCCAAAGACCAAGTTTCCATAGAATTAATGGGAAGGAATAAAGAGGAACCTAAGTATTAAAAGAGAATCCCAGAGTTTGCCATGAACTATCAGACTAGTCTGAAAGCAGATTTCTGCTCCATTGAGAGTCTTTAATAGCAGTGGATAACTAAGATAAACAGAGACTGAAGGGCTGCCTGAGACACATACAAAATTATTGAATTATGACATGTTTGAGAAGTTATTTACTTTATAGAGTATTTACATAAGGTTCACTTCCTCTCCAAATATAAGCTCAAATATTACAAAGCTTTTTTTTTCCCCCCTTAATGAGGGGACCGCATTCAACAGCCCCACAAACATTCATAATTAACATTTTTTTCAGGCACATTCCTAGGAAAGTTTTCCAGGCAGTCACTTCCCCAGAGCAAAAGCAATACCAAGGAAACCCCAGTCTCTCACCAGGCAAATATAGAGAAGAAAACACAAGGCATCAAAAGGAACAGGGAAAAGAGGAGACGGGGTATAAAGTGATGACCCTGCGACCGGAGTTTTACTTTTCTCTGTGCTATAGGCACCTGACAGGCCTTCTGCCAGGCTCTTAACCTCTCTGTACCTCTATTCATCAGCTGAATTAAACACTTTGTTGTCATATGATACCTGTAAGAGGGGAGCTATGTGTGCATTTATCTGGCAGAAACAGATGCCAAGCATTTTAACGAACAGAGGTCACTGTATCCAACGCAGAAATTTTAGATCAGGGGCTTTGGCAGGAGAACACTTCCTGCCTTTTAAGGGAGAATACCACTGCTATTAAAACAACTGATTTGTTCTCAATTAGCCGGCCCATCCATAACACTTTTGCTTACCTGAGAAGTGTCGTGATTGAATATGACAGCATTCAGGTCTCCACAATTATAATGCTTGATGAGATCTTCAGTGGTATATGGGGCCTGCAAACTACCTGCTCGGAGACTTTCATGTTGGAGCAGAGTTTGGTTCAGAGCAAACAGCACCTGTAGAAATGTAAATAATAAAAACAGGAGAGGAGTTCAAGATACCGAGTATCAAAGAAGCAAAGCCTTAGAGGCTAAACTTTTAAAAACTCTTATGTGCCTGAAGTCTATTGACCCATTGTAGCCCACAGCAGTAAGGAATGATCTTTAGGTGTTCCCAACTGGAAGGGAATTCCATCCTTCTCTAATAGAAGTCCTTATTACAGGATCCTTGATATTCTTCATAAAGTCTAATTTCATAATATGTACACTGCTTGGAACTCATGACCAAGTGGTCTGAGGACAATTAGCTTATCACTGCCCAGAACTTGGGTACGTGAGAGACATTGGAATGAAAAAATCCCAGAAGTAGGAAGCTTCTCTTCTATTGCCTCTGTTTCCTGACAGCTAGCTTGAATCCAAAGCCCAAATAAAGCTAGAAGATTTAAAAAAATATAAAAAAATATCATAATCTTAAAAACTTAGGAAGTCACTGTTGTAGCAGGAGAATTTCTGAATGCTTTTAATACCAGAAACTTTAGGAAATTCACTATTAGTCTCCTTTCCTTAGCCTTTCCCCCTTCACCTACCCTTTTGCAATATGAACGTATATATTGAATTGTAACACTGTCAATTGGATTTACTTCTGCAAAACCTCGTGTATATAATAAATATGATCTGAGATTTTTATTTTTTATTTTTATTTTTTAAAGGAATAAAAAAAAAAAAGTATCTCCAGGGCATTAACAGCCTCTTAATAGGAAGCTGTTAGATGTTAACTAACATACACAAATTCTGGTTGAGGGAAAGCAAATGTTATTTTTAATTTACTTTTTAAAAATATAAAGATGGTCTTTCAAAAGAACCTGTTACACCGCAGTTCTGCAATTGGTTCCCGCTTAAGATCCAAGCCTAAGAGATTTCCTTGTTCAGATCTAAGGGTCTCTTCAGGCTTTTCTACAAAGAGATCCAACTTTCCCAGGACCATAGCCTACAGTTAAGCATCTACCTAACTTAGTTTTCCTGTAATTTAAAAAACCTGCAAAAAAATACAGCTTAAAAATTTCTAAGCTTTGAAAGGCTCTGAGCTTTCTCTTTTTCCCCTAAGGGCTACAGCTCAAAGAGGAAACGGTTCATCCCAGGATTTCCTGGGGATTCTAAACATTTTGACTAATAAAAATAAAAGCTTAGAAAAACTTTGACAGGAAAACCGAGAGTAGAGGTTTTCCCAAAATGCTTTTAGCAAAATCCTTCTCATTTTTGATTTTTTAAACAATGGATGTTGCTGGATTTTTATATACAAAAATGTGTATACACACACACACACATGTACAAACAACCACAAAAACCCTGAGGATAAGACAGAGTGTTTTATGGTAAAATATTAAGGAGATGATAAACAAATCCTTCCTTTATTCCAAATGACTTTTTTGGGGGGTTGCTCTGGCTTCCTGAGGAAACCAGTGCTCTGCGTTCATGCTCTGCCTCTGTCTCTTTGTTTCCTCCTAATAAATTTGGAACCTATTAGCTGATTTCAGTCATATTTGCAGAGGGTTAGAGGTCTTAAAGAAAATTGCCTGCATGTTCCTTGAAAATAAGCGTCTGGTTGCAGAAAAAGCCGCAGTGTGAGTTCACATAAGACACCACCATGAGAGAGAAGGAGTTATTCAGAGCTTGCCACAGGAGATGGATCCCAGAGTTCATTAGTGGCAGTGGCCATGTCAGGACATTCGTGTTCTTGCTCGCTGCCCCCGTCTTGCAATGGGACCTAAGTGCTGGTGGCCAGCTGAGCTCTGGCACTCTGCTGACACCGCGGGGAAGCTAATCGCCGGGTTCAAGCAACTGCCCAAAAAGCAGCTTGAGAGATTTTATTCTAGGCTGGGAGTTAAAATTAGAAACTGAAGCTCTTGCATATGCTAAAGCAAAATTTCAGCCGCCTAAGCAGATTTCTAGAGAAGTCTTGCTTAATCACGCCGTAATCACCATGGGTTTTGGTTGGGTGGCCCAAAACACACTTGAAGAGATGCAGGGTCTTGTAGCAGTCACTTGCCGGCTGGATTTGTAGGCTTTTTCCCCTAGAGTCTGGTTAAAGCCATCTTAAAAGCTGCATTTATTTTTCCTTACTGTTCAGATAATGCCACAAAAACAATGCTGCTTCCTTTCCTTCTCCCTATCTTAATATCAGTGACCCCACGACCTCCAGCCTAAACCTCTATCTGAGTTAAATCTCCCAGAGGTGCCTGAGATTACCGAACAACTGATGACTTCAAAATAAACACACTTTGAGCGACTGCCCGTACACAGTCCCACCTAATAAATACAGCAGACAGTATTTGTTCTGGGAAGTGATGGGAAGCTAAGGGTTTGGCTCTGGGAAAGTGCATTTTTATTCAAGCAATTTATGATCCTCACATCTGCGTGCTTTGAAAGCCATTTTTGCGCAGCTGTCTCTGGCCCTGAGTTGCAAGCGATCAAACACGGACAACAGGAGGGGTTTTTCACCCTGCCAGGAGGAAGCCTTTTCACCCAAGTGGTGTCATTCTCTGGAGAGAAGCATTCAACACACGGATTTTATGAGTATGTTTGGAGACACCAGCTCGGCCCTTACGGCAAACCCATGGGTCCGGCTTTATTGCTGAAGAAAGCAGGTAGCACCGGCCCCACACAGCACCAGGAACCACTGGGCAGGCTTTTTAGCAGCACTTTTGCATAGCCTATTGCCATCTCATGGATAAGGGGTCTGTACCAGACCAGCTTTTCCCTGGCAAGGTCAGAGGCAGACCTGGGACAAGGCGAGAGCTCTTGCATTATGGGTGACCTGCAATCAAGGTACGCCCAGGAAGGGGGAGATCGGCAGGGTCCTCAGGTTTAATTTTTTGGTGAACAAGGCTGCTCCATTTCTTATATTCATGCCATCTGTTCTCACCACTACCCAAGAGTACCTGTGCCGCCACACTGCACACCTTTGGTCTTTGGCCCCACTGATCTTGGACACCTCAGTTTATTTTGTTAAAATTTATAGTTCCCTCATTTCTAGTGACAGCTCAACTCCGTGCCCATCACTTTGTCTAGGAGGCAATACTATGGATTTCTAACCAAGTGGAAAGGTTCTTCAGTTTGACTACAGTCCCAAATGGTGCCACCGTGGCATCTCAGGGGCCATCTTAAAATAAGACAAGGAAGCCTTGTTACCATACTTTAGTAACATACTTGAGTGGTCCCAAATATTATGAACTATTTTGCTAATAAAATAGAAAACAAATTCAGATGTTACAACTGAAGAAATAAACTTTGCATTAAGCTGAAAAGAAAGAGATCTGTGTTCTTCTGGTGCAATTGCTATTGAAAACACTTGAGAAGGAAAGGAAACCCTGAGAAAACTCTTGCACCAGACTTTGGTGTGCAGATAAATTTCATTGTTATGCGATGGAGAAATCACTTTCCATTCCTAAACTTATGAAGGCTGAACCATAAACACTACATTCACATGACTCCAGTAGCTGGAGTTACAGGATGACCCCTGCATAGAACCATGATTAATAACAATACCACAAAAACAAGTACTTAAGTTTCACGCTATGATGTCATCTCTTGGGCAGCGAACTATTGTTTTCTTTTGCTCTCTCTTTTGGACAAGTGCCACCACAAGGCAAATACTAAATAAGCATTACTGGAAGCATTTGGGTGACTATATCCCATCAGAACCCACACTGCCACTCAAGAAAAGAAGTGCCCACTCTCCTGCTTGGTTCAAAACAAACCGTAACATAAGTACTGAGCTATACTGCTCTTCTGAGATTCTTGTTCTGTTGTTATCATTCTCTATACTCAAATGGAAAATCAAATATACTCTTTCAGTTCAAAATAATGGCCTGAAGAAAAGGGAAAAAAATGAAAAGAAAGAAAAAAACAAGTCCCTGATTTTCCAGATTAATGAAAAGCAATAAAAGTGTTTGCCCAAATCTGTTCAGTTCCATTGGTTTCCAGAAGACGGGTTTCCCCTTTCCTTGAATCTTTTGCACTGTTGCTAGGAATTAGTGAGCTGTGAAACTCACCTAATGAGGTCAGCATCAGGAAATAGCTCTGAAAAAACAGGTCCAGGAGGAACAATAAAGGACTCTCTCAGTGTCCAAGAGAAATCCTGGATGCATCGGCACATTGTACAGCCGGGGCCACTGGAGGAACGCGCCTGACTTTGTTGTTGTTGTTCCTATAAAGGGACAGCTAAGGAAAGTGAAACTATTAACTCATCCACTGGAATTTCTGCTCACAAAACCGTGCCCCCTGTTAAAGCTCCTCATAAAAGCCTTTCGGCTAGTTGGTTCCATATGTTCCCCAAACCCGCAGTTATTGCTTCTGAAAGGCAGGAGTAGTTAACAGTCTGCGGCTTGGCACTGACCAGGGAGACCTAAGGACCCTGCTTTTTTCTCTCCCTTTCAAACTAGCAATTAACCAGTTTAATAAAACAGTTTGAATCTGACCAAGGTGCCTGGAGAAACCCCTAACAACGGCAGATCCTACCAGGTTAGTAACAATGCTGACACGCAGGCATGGCCTGGTGAAGAGCACTCGTGCTAATAGCTCACAGCCCTGAGACTTAGACTGATTTTCTTGGTGCTGGGAATACTGCAGGGAGCTAAGAGCTCCAGCTTTCAGCCCTGCACACCCAAAGGTCCCGAGGAAGTATTTAAGTTGACTTCCAGGAGCTTAGCACTAGCTTCAACCTCTTGACCTTTCTCTTTACACAAACTTCCCATGATGAACTTTGAAGTGCTAAAGCCATTTTATTTTTTTATTTTTTCTTTGTGTTTCATTGAATCGAGGCATAAAACAAAACAACAAAAAACTCTGAAGCAGTTCTTTGACAGACAACACTGCAATGTGCATGAGTCGCCCACTCCTTCAACACCAAGACTGCAACACACCATTGCCATAGCCCAGGGAGGACTCGCCTGGTCGACAGCAGCTCTCATTCATTCCCAGGGCTAAAGGACTTTAGTAAAGGACAGGACAGTACTATA